TAATAAACAATAAACGAGCGGATTGGAAACTAGGCCTTTCCAACCGTTAACCGTCACGAAAGCGCGACTGGGTGGATCGGAAACTCGGCCTTTCTGACCACCCAGGAGATATCAATAAATGGAGTAACCCAAAAAGAATAGCGCGGATTGGAAACTCGGCCTTTCCAACCGTCTACATAACTTCCAGGAAATTGCATGCGTGTATAATGACATAAAATAATTGCAGTGATAAAGAAATAATATTATTTAAAAATTTCTGTAGAGCATTTTGTATTTTGTATTTAATATTTAATATTTATATTTTAAATCTAAAATCTAATTATAAGAATGTTAAATCTTTGTTGCAATATAAGTCTAACAGACTGTAAAAAATAAATAAATAAATAAAAAAAATATCGTCGTTTGAAGTACAAAACCGCGTATGTGGAGAGTAAAAATACTCATATTTCAAAATGGTTCTCTTTTTTATTAAGCAATCGCATTTCTGGCTAGTATATTCCAGGACGTATGGTTAAGGATTGAGCCAAGAGCTTGCGTGAGCAAATCCAATTTTTGGCAGCCAATGCCAGTTACGCGGTTTTGCACTTTAAACGACGATATAAATATACGTGTATGTATACATACACAAATGTGGGACATTCCAGCCCAATTCGGCTTCCCTGGTTTAAATAATTTTTTTTTAACGATGTTGGAAAAAAGGTTCCTGTTTTTAAATGCCTATAACTCTGCAAAAAATGAGCCACTGTTTTTTTGTTTGTAGAATTTTTCATTTTCAAAACACTTTTTTTTTACCTTGTTTATACCTACGAAAAAACCGCATTAACAAAAAACCGATTTGATTCTAAACATATTTCTTTCTAACGTTTATTCCACAGTCTTTATAGCGCACTCGATAAAACCGTATTGAAAAGTAAAAAAAACTCCGTTACTTTTATTCGACATTTATTATACCCGAGCGCACTTGTGCACAAGGGTTTATTAATTTTGTGCACATAACGGTTGTTTGTAACAGCCAAAACGAATCGAGATAGATATAGACAAATGTATACATAAATGCTCAGGATGAATAGAGAAGTCGATTAAGCCATGTCTGTCTGTCCGTCTGTCCGTATGTCCGTCCGTCCGTGTACACGATAACTCGAGAAAAAATTGAGATATCTCAACGAAATTTGGTATGCAGGTTTCATTTAATCCAAGGTAGGTTGGTATTGAAAATGGGTGAAATCAGACGGTAACCACGCTTACTTCCCAAATAACGGTAATTTCCAGAAATACGAAAACTGCGATATTTTAGTAACTACTGACGATAATTCACTCAAAATTGATATTTACAATAGCTTTCAGACAAAAAATAAGAATATTAAAAAGTTTTGGAAAATGGGCGTAGCCACGCCCACTTATGGTTACATGTGTATATCTTGGTAACCGCTACACCAATTGCTTCTAAACTTGGCACAGTTATTGGCCTTGGTACAGCATACCAAATACAATAACGGACAATAACCACGGCCACATCCCATATAACGGTAATTTAGAGAAATGCTAAATCTTCGATAAATCAGTAAATATTGAAGCTAATTTATTCAAAATTGATGCTTGCAACAATTCTCTACCAATAAATACGTTTATGATAAAATTTTGGAAAATGGGCGTGGCACCGCCCACTTATGATCACATATAAGTATATCGGTAACCGTTCTGCCAATTTGTACCAAACTCGGTATGGTTATTGTGCGCTTGCCACATAAAAGCAAAATGTTGAAAATTATTGAAATCGGACTAAAATTACGGCCGCTTTTCATATAACGGGCACGCTTGCAGTGTTTTAGACGTACATACACAAGGCCAAGTATAGACTCGGACCATCAAGGTATGCAAACTGCGCGGCCAACAATGTCAGAAAACCCCATTGTCTAAAAGTGCCTTCTACTCTAGACTCTCACGCCTTTTCTAGGAGAGAAGAGGGCACTCTTCAAAAAAACCGAAATATGCGAGCAGAGGAACT